GGCCGCCTGCGCCCCGGGGAGGCCGCCCGTGCGCGACGGGACCAGCAGCATGAGCAGCGGCTACAGCAGCCTGGAGGAGGACGCCGAGGACTTCTTCTTCACCGCCAGGACCTCCTTCTTCAGGAGAGCGCCCCAGGGCAAGCCCCGCGCAGGCCAGCAAGTGAGTGGAGTGCGCGGCGGGCGCTGCTGCTGTTTTCTCTCCGCCCCGGTGCGGCGGGACCCCAACTCCACGTGTCTCTGCGGGGATGCTTGCCGGGGAGGAGCAGGAGGCCGAAGAGTGGCTTCTGCCTTTTTTCAGTCCCGGGAACTTGCCTTGAACCTCTGCCTGTTGGCGTGGGGTGCCCTGGGCTAGGGAAGCTGGAGGAAGGGCGGGGAGGCGAAGGGCCCGATCCTGCCTTCCGTGCCAGATGGCCTCAGCGGCCCCGCCTGGGGGCCGCCGGCTGTGGGGGAGCAGTTTTGAGAACCTGGAGGTTCACTCCCGGCGTCTCCCCTTCGCGTCCCTGCCGGGTCAGCCATCGGGTCCCCGAGCCGTCCCTCCTTGTTAGTACGCCCTGTGACCCGTGGCCCCGGCGTGGCTTGGGGGAGTGTGTAATAGCCTTGAGTGACCACGGTGACCTGTCCCCCGCCCCCGCCCCGCTTCGGGAGCACTGGTGGGGGAGGGGAGCCGAGCGGACCCGACCATAGTAGGCGCTCACTAAATCTGGGTTACTGGACTTGCAGGACTTAAGGTCAAGTTTATGGGTGCTCAGAATAAGTTTTGCAAGCAAGCTCTGGTGCTCGATAGAAACTAGCCGGCGAGAGCTGAGCTTTAGGCCGGTTTCTTCCTTTTTTGGAGGAAGCATGCCGTGGGAAGCATGGCTTGGGAAAAGATGGGAAGGGAACTTGTGCCAGTTTTGCCGATCGTGACTGTTTTTTAGGGAGGCTTTCCAGACAGGGCGCTTGAACCCGCGGCCTGCTGCCCCTGGGAGCCTGGCCAACCCGGCCATGCTCACATCAGATTAGAGAAGGCTGTAATGGAACAAACTAGTTGCTTTTCAAAAACAACAGGCGCCTTCGGACCTTTCTTTCAGGCAGTCCTAAAGACTAGAAGAAATCGTTCAGGAACTGGGTGATGGGTGCTTTTTTTTTTTTTTTGGAGGTGATGGGGTGGCAGGGAGGGAATTTGTTAAAAGTGTCCTTGCCAGGTTCTCTTTTAAATTTACTGAACCCCTTTCTAAGGTCAAGTTTCTTAACAAGATTCGTAAGTTCTAGTCTTTTCAGCCTCTTAACCAAACCAGAAGAAGGGGGAGTGGACGACGATGAAGGGCCAGAGTGGAGTCAAGTGCCCTTATTCAGTTAACAGCGATTAATCCGGTTAATGGTGAATGAAGTGCCCGGTGATAGTTCGGGTCTTTATTGTTTCACAGGCTTAAGGGCGCACTACTCACCAGGGTGATGTCTTATTTTCAGTAGAGAGTGTGCTAACTGCCTGAGTTTTGAAAGTCAGAAGTTACCCTCCATCTCTTATGAGAAATGGATTTTTCTTTTTCTTTTTTTAACCTTGCTTTTCTCTTTCTTTTCTTGGCCTATCCTTTCTTTACCTTCTTCACTTTATCTTCTTCACTTACATTGTTGTTGCCATTTGACACATGGAAACTGCTTGTTGTGCTAGTTTGAAATCTATTCCAGAGGTGGCTAGTAATCTCCAGAAAACTAGTCAGCTCTTGGATTCTCCACGTGTGTGACATTCTCCTTTACAAGGGACAGAATCTCCAGATTGGAATTGTTTGAGAATTCTTTGGTGCTTTAACAAGTAAGGAGCATTTCTGTCTAGCTTTATGTCCATATAGTGGTTTTATGTTTAATGCATTAATTTATGTAATAGTCACCTAGAATGTATATTATGCTCATGTAATATTATTTATTGAGCATCTAGAATTAACCTAACATTAATAGTGTTTTGAAGGATTGTGTTGAATCAGAACAGTAAGGCTTAGTTCCTGCCTTGAAAAGTCTCATATGTATATTCTGAAACTCTATTGCCTGTACATTTTCCCTTCTAGCATAATGCATGCAAGGTGCTGCGTTGTAAGAGGAGTTATTTGCCAGGGAGATAAAGGGTCCTAAATTGAATTTTAGTGGGCATTTTGTTTTACTTAAGGAAGGTACTGTGTTTCAAATTACTGCTGATTTTGTAAATAAAGAAGTGAAATAACGCACTCTTGTGGAACATTTTTTTTTAAAGATCAGATAAATCATTTCTTTATTAACTTATGATTATAAAAATAAGTATTTCTTTTATTAAGAGTAGTGATTATTTTTTAGCTGTTGACCATCTAGTGGAAAAGCTGGAAAATTTGGTTTCCAAAATTGAAAATATCTGGAAAATGCAAGATATCTGTGGTGAATGCATAGTCAGGAGGAAGGGGTGAGGGTAATGCGAAATTTCTTTCTTTTGCCAAGAGAGGGACTGTAACCCAACTTCTTTCCATCTCCAACAAGGACAAAATCCTTAAAGACAATGAACATGCCATAATTTTTTCCCCCCTCATTTTCTTTTGTGTCCTGTTCTCTTAAAAAAATAAAATAAAATAAAAAAGAGGGAAACAAGGGTTAAAAATCTGTCTGAAGGATATAAAGAAAATGCCTTTTTGTGGCATTTCCAATGTCATGTATTATAGCTGTATCCTCAGGACCTGAACCAGTACCTGACATAGAGTAGTTGTTCAATGAATACTAGTTGAATGAATGAAAGGTTTCCTGACTTGATAATAATAATTGGATCTTTATCATTTTCAAATGTACTCTATCTTATGATTCTCCCAATAACCCTTTGAAGCATTAACCTAATGAAAGAGAAGTTATTGTACAGGGTTAGGTGGTATACACCTGTAATCCCAGCTCCTTGAGGCTGAGGCAGGAGGATTGCAAGTTCAAGGCCAGCCTGCGCAATTTAGCAAGACCTTGTCTCAAAATCAAAAATAAGAAGGGATAGGGGATGTAACTCTTGGTAACATAACAGGTCCCTGGATTCAATCCCTAATACCTGAAGGGCAGTGGGAAGGGGCAAGAGGAAGTATTAGTGTGAGATTGTCTAAGGGTCCATACTTAGAAGACTGGAATTTGGGTTTTCTAACTCAAATTTCACTTTTCTTTTTGTTACTGTTTGGCACAAAAAAATTAAATTAAATTTTCCCTTTGCATATATGGATGTATGTAAATTAGGAGTGTTTTTAAAATTCAGCTTTGTCGTGTACATATTGTCATAACAGTGTTTATAATTCATGTTTGTAGATTCACTTAATTTCTAGGAATCTACCTAATCATAGTTTTAAGCAGATCCCAAAATGTTGATGATTCTGTAGTTTATGATTTGCCTTTTCTGGTTTTGTGACAAAATCAAACTACCTTTAAAAAAACAGGACACATTCAGATTTCCGAAGAGTAGAGGTGACCCAAAACTATTAAGATAAACTGTTGAAACGTGTCTTACTTCTTGGCTGAGGTATTCACCTTTCTTCTTGAGCCTTTGGTAGTGAATAGGAGTAAGAAAATGGGACGCTGTTGTTGCTTTACAAGTAGAATAGTGCAGACATAGTGAGAAACTTGAATTGTCTTCCGACAATTGTAAAAAGCAATACTGAGGAATTTTTGAATAAATCAAACCTGTGGTTCATAACAAGCCTTAAATTCGCTCTTTGGATTTTCTTCTTATTATTGTTTCAGTAGTTTCGTGGGTCTTTATTTGGTCATGTCTTATTTTGAGAATCAACAATAATGAGTTGCACTCTCCTCCCATTAATGTTTCCACTGGAAGTTTTGAAGGTAACTCATTGGGGCAAAAGAACAGTAGTTTACAGCATCAAAGGTGTTTTGGTTCTATTTCTTTTGTGTGTGTGTGTGTGTGTGTGTATGTGTGTTGTGTATGTGTTTGAACCCAGGGGTGCTCTGCCACTGAGCCTAATCCCCAGCCCTTTTTATTTTGAGATAGGGTCTCACTAAGTTGCTGAGGCTGGCTACCAATTTGTAGTCCTCCTGCCTCAGCCTCCTGAGTTTTGTGCTGCCATGCTTGCCTGGCTATACTAATGTTTAATCCCTGGGCTACTGGATATAAACATTCCTACCAGCCATTTTGCCTTGTGCAAAGTGATTTGCACATTTTGTCTGCATGTCTGATCTATTCTGTTCTTACATAGTCTTAATCCATTGGAATTTTGTGTTTGTATGAGCAGGACTCACAAAAGCATATTGCTTTAACTGGATTTCAAAAGAAAATTATTTCCCAATCTTTTATAATTTCATGTGTGACCAATACACTCCTTATTCTGTTTCTTCTTCCGGCTGACTTGCAATATTTGGAATTATTTGGAAAGCAGTGACACAAAACATTTATGAAAAGAAAGGCTGAAAATATCTAATAATGCCATTATTCTTTTTAGACTTCCTTTGACAGTCAATGCCTGTCATGCTGTGAACATTCTCTTTATGGGAAAAAAAAATGAGGCTGACCCAATGCTTTCTAGTGTGGTCTGATCACCAGCTCTTAGCCCCGAGCCTCAGCGCTTGCCTTCCCCCACTTCACTAACATAACTCACTGCCCTTTGGTGAAGGCCCTAGATTGAGGCTTGCTTTTGATTCCTAATTTGGCCCTAGGTCATTAGCTACAACCTTCTTTATAAGGGATGGTGAAAAGACAGTAGAGTATATGGTAGCTGCAGGCAAAGGAGCTTCTAAATGAAGTATCAGGGCTAATGTGGCCTGTTTGTGCCTTTGTCCGAACAAAGAGTTAAATATATTGTATAGTAGGAAGTTTTGATTCTCACAGCTGAACAAGCATTACCTATGTCACAAGACCCAGCTGATTGTTCACCCTCTAAAGTTATTTATTTTTGAGACAGTGTCTTGCTATGTCGCCCAGTCTGGCCTCGAACTCCTGGGCTCAACAATCTTCTTGCCTCATCCTCTTGAGTAGCTGGGATTGCAGGTGTATGTCACTGAGCCTGGCTTGTACTAACTGTTATAGTTGCATATCACTAGAACTGTAATCATGTTAGCTTTCTTTTAGTTCCTTTCAGGATCCAAGTTATTCTCCTTTCAGGAGCTTGGCCTGGAGTTTGCTTCCCCCCATTATCCTTCTTGTGTCAACTTAAATGTCTGTCACCTCAGAGAAGTGTTCCTGAA